ATCATCGTTGAGGATTCTCCAGCAGCAGGGGGGGGGGATGCGTGGTCGCCATTAAGACAAGCGGCCCTGACGCCATTTGGCGCCACCTCCTTTTCCACCAAAATCGAGGAAAACTTGCATAATACGGTTGTTTGACAGCCTGATTACGAATGTGGGATTCATTTTTCGACAGCTGCGCCGTTAAGTGCTCTGCTAAGACCAAGCCTGGACAAGTACTGATTCCCTTCCAGGCAGGCTCAGCCTCAACAGAGCGCAGACGATAGTAGTGTCCTCCATTAGCGCGAGCGCCAAGAGAGGAGGTTAACTTACTCAAGGGGACAAGTTTTCAGGAATTCGGTGATTTAGCGATTTTGAGCAGGCGCTGACGCGGGAGCCAGGAAGTTTCAGGCGAAGCGGATGTTATATTGCTGCTTAGAAGGTTGAACTGTCCATGGAAACGAGCTTTCAGCGAAATCGGCCCTTTGAAAAAAGTCGGAGAAAAAACCGGTCGGGTTTCGGAAAACTGGGCAGTATTGATAGAATAGTGCAGACTGATCAATCGCACTAACTTGGGGTCAGAACATCTTCCAAGCTTAAATTCAAGCAAAGCTCTCCCTGACCGTCTGCCACAAAAGAGAAATGTTTGTTGCAGTTTCAAATACCACGGAGTGTTTTTCATCAAAATGTTCCGCCGTATCACACAAGCGCCGAGTTCAAACTTCAGAACAGTCCTCGATGTATAAGAAGGCGTCCGAGAGCAATACGAAGGAACGATCGCGGAGTTGACCCACGGCTCACACTCTGCCACAAGAGAGTTCCAGTGGCCGTGAATCCGTGTTACAGTAACAGTTGTCATTGGGGCGCGCTGTTGGGTTAGAGCATGGTTTCCGGTCTTTTGAGCTTTTACCTATAAAAAGTGGAAGTACTTCGTTGCTCCCTTGTATTGATCTCATGGATTGCCGAGAGCCATGCCCTTATCCAAAAGCACGCCCCAATGACAACCTGGGTTACTGTATTACGGATTCGCGGCTACTGAAATCTCCTTGTTTCAAGTTGACTGTTTTCGGTCAACGACCTACCACTCCCACACGCGCGCCGTTTAGTGTGGACGCGCGGTCGTTCACTGCAGTTCAGTTTTTGGTGTGTCGTGCTGAGAAATGAAGATTGATTCATAAATTCACTGCGTTTGCGTCCTGAGCCTCTCGCTTCTTTTAGCGTGGTCAAGCTGTTTTCCATGTTCTCCTTCGAAAATGATCTTGTTTCTTGAATTCTCTTCCTTTTTATATCGCATTTTATATTTGTGACTCTTTTTCATCCGCTTGACGAGCCCAGATCAGTGCTCGGTTTTGGGATTTTTTTCTGAGTGATCATGGCCCTTTTTTCTCGCCCGAGTTTTCGAAGTGGTGCGCGTTCAAGGCGTGTTGTTGATGCAGTTGCTTCGACTTTGTAGAAGATTTCTCCGTTCTCACAATTTGCTATCCAGTAAAACTAGTCATTATCACACTTTGGACAAGTTTTCTGGATTAAATTTCCAATTCGCTAGTGGAGAAAGCTTCTCTCTGTCGAAAACCATGTTAGATTAAAACTTCCTGGCGGAAATTCCCACGTCTTCCTATAGTCTTGGTGGATTTGGTTCATTTCCCTGGGTCTCGTCAACATGGTCAGGTAGAAAGACCAGAGTAAGTCACCTAATATTGGCATATTTCTATGAGTCCTCGACTATTTTGTTTGCCCTGCACCAAAGAAGTTATTGTGCATCGATTCCATTTTTCTTGCGCCTCTCCACGTCATACACCTATTTCATAATAGCACTTCTTTATCACGTGACTGTGACCACACCTAACTTTTTTTCGAAACTTCATTTTGCTAATCACTGAGTATGATTAGCAGATTCAATTATTAACCACCTGGTGATTCTATAAAATTATTCCGATTTTGCATCATTCTTATTAAAGGAATCGCTTTGCCTCCTCGTCCTTTTTCTTTCTTTCTTCTCTCATCCCTGCTCCATATTTTCTTCCCATCGAATGTTCGGCCAGAAGAGCTATGAGAAATTACTCATAGCTCTTATGGCCGAACATTCGATGGGAAGAAATTCCTCGCAGTGAGAGAGCTTCCGGTTGAAAGAACCTGTAACCTTTTTTCCATTTATCCATTTAGGAAAGGTTCTTCAACGAATTTGGTACCAAATACTTAACCTGCGTTCAGAATATGTTTTCTTTCATGCTAATGCTATGTTTCATAAACATCTCCTTATAATTTTTGTTTAAAAGGAAGTTCTGTTTTCTTAGCATCTTGTTATAGAAGCAGTAAACATAAGAAATACTCATGAGTTTTGTGCGTTAATTAAAGGTTATATAAGATCGTAATTATAAAGAAACCTTCTTAGAACTCATGTTTACTGCTGAGATCTCACTACACTTCCTCACAAAGTTGTTGTGCTGACGACTTCTTTGTGGTTTGGCGATAATCAACTTCCGCGATGGATTCTTACGCCAGCATTACTTTTTCCTTCTTCCTTCAATCAACGCATTCTTTGTTGCCATTTTCTTCAATGAGGAGGGTTACCCTATTTGCGCTTAGGTGTCCCAAGCGCTAGATTCTAATACTTCATCGGGAAGTGTAGATTCCAGCAGGGCACGGCTTTCCTCGGGAATCCCTAGCTAATAGGGTCATATTTGGTCGTTGGAGGATGTATTAGTATCTGCTTTCGGTGTTTGGAAAAGAAAAGTTGTTCTAAATGGGTAAGATAATAGGTACTATAAGGGATGGGGTAGGAGGGGTTCGTATCAAAAGAGGAACTCTTGGGAAGGTTCCAACGGAAGACGTGCCTTGGATTCCAGAATGAGAATTGAATCGCTTTTGGTTTACATCGTATATGTTTACAATTGCGTTGATTACAATTTAACTAAATGATGAAATTATTTTAGGAGAGGTCTCAAACTTCGGCGCGCATTTGCGACTTGTTTCTTTGATGGAAAGAGGATATTGCGATAATGACAGCGGTAGAAATGCTGCTGTAAACGAAACTGTGCGTGAACGCTACGTGCCTCCGCATCGACGTAATCGTGACGGGGGCACTAGCGATGCGCCACCGCGTCCACGCTACGACGATAATGAACGCTCGTATGGAGGTGGTGGTGGTGGTGGTGGTGGAGGAGGCCGAATGGGAGGCGGAGGAGGGT